GACAGGTAGCATCCTTCCCCGGCGCGCGCAGGCCTGGCCTCTCAGACGCAGACAGCTGGCCCGGGAGATTAGCCTCCCTCAGGCTTGATCCCCTGCTAGAGTGGAAATTTCGTTTCCTTTGTTCAGGTCTTTTCCAAATCCCCTATAAACTGTATCCCCCCCACGCCCCAGTCATGCCAGTGGGCAGGGGAGCATGGCACAGCGGCATCACCAGATCCCTACAGGCCCGGGTGAACCCCTTTGTCCAGGAGGGCAGTGCTGGCTTGTGGATAAAGCCTAGGACCTGTCCTATTCCCAGCCCCCTTCCCCTTTCCCTGCCTCAGTTTCCCCTCACACCCTTTGTCCGGTTAGCCTGCGTTTGTGCAGCGCTTAGCAGGACGGGGCCCTGTGATGGGGTTCCTACCCTCCACAGGTGGTGAAAGGGTGAATGTGGGCCCATTACAACACCGGGCTGCCCCTGGAGGCTGATCAGAGATGACGCCCAGCGGGCTACTGCCAGAGAGACAGACAGTTTGGAGCAGAAGGGAAAAATTCTGCAGCCCCTGCTCTTGGCAGTAAAGTTTCGGGGGGGGGAGGCTCCAGGGGGTTGAGGAAGAAGATACAGGACTGGAGCAAGCCCCTGTGCGACCCGGGGGAGCAGGCCGGAGAGGGGAGCAATGGGGACAGGCCTGGAGAAAGGCCAGTGATAGGAAGCGGTCTGATGGATTGGCCTTTGCCCTCACACGAGGGTCCCTGGGCTAGAGATGGGCGTGAAGCCCCCGATGCAAGGGGATAAAGATGACTTAAAACCCGGAAGGGAAGGGTGTGAGGCCCACGGGGCTGGGCGTTTGGGGTCGAGGACCAGCTGTACGGGCACTGCATTGTCTGTGGGACTTGCCGTTACCCCTGGAAGGAGTGGAACGAAAATGTGACCCGGCCGAGGCATGAAGGACCAACCTGGGACCGAGCGACCGTCTGCAGGGGGCGTGAGGGAGGAAAGAACTGCTCTGCCATGCCCTGCCGCGCTTTCGGTGAGTCCTGCTTTCCATGGGCTCCCTGCAGCCTACCACAGTATAAGCACTGCTCCATAGTCTCTCACGGGGGTCGCAAAACTGGTCAGTCAGTGACGATCCAGCCTCCCTTCAGCTCTCCGTGCCTCGGTTTCCCCAAGTGGGGAACTACTCTGGAAGTAACCTGTGCTTTGAGATCCTCTACTGGAAAGTGCGGTGCAAGGTTTAAACTAGTGTCAATGGCGGGTTTCTCTGGTCACTCGTGGTCTTTAAATCCTGATTGGAGAGTTTCAGTAGCTCGGCCAGAGGCGAGGCTCTGTTACAGGAGTGGGGGGCGAGGCTCTCTGGCCTGGGATGTGTGGGGTGGATTGGCCATTATTTGGGGGGAGTGTCGGTAGATCAAGACTGGGTGTCTTTCTAAAGGAAACACGTGACTGGATGATCACGATGTGTCCTTCTGGCCTGAGAGTCCGTCCTCTAGCTTCCACCTCCTGTTGTTAGTCACAGAGGGCAGAGCAGAGAATGGAACCCAGGAGTCCTGGCTCTAACCACCAAACTGCACTCTCCTCCTAGAGCAGAGGATGGAACCCAGGAGTCCTGGCTCCCAACCCCCTGGCTCTAACCACCAAACTGCACTCCCCTCCCAGAGCGGGGGACAGAACCCAGGAGTCCTGGCTCCCAGCTGCTGGGCTCCTGTCTGCTCCGCTGCCCCTCACCCAAATGAACTCCATCTCAGCCAAAAAAGTGCAAAGAACAAACCCCACCGCTGGAGCGAAGAGGCTGGTCAGAGAAGGCCCCTGCCCAGGACTGAGCGAGAGTCCAGGCTCCTGGCTGGCTTTGTCCTGGGTCTGTACAGCGCCTTGCACACTGGGAGCCTGGTCCTGAGTGGGAGGCTCCAGCCGCTCCCCAGATCTGGCTCCAGCCCTGGCTCAGGCGCCAAGACACTTCCCGTTTCTCTGAAGGAAAACAATTCCTGTAGCTTCCCTCCCCCTCCCCCCTTGTTCCTGCCTCCCAGCTTCCACCCCGACTCCCTGTAATCCGCATCCCGGCTTTGACAGCATCGGGGGAGCAGGGCCTGCAATGCTGGTGTGCTGCCTGGATGGGGAACCACTTAATTCGACAGCCTCTCCAGGCCATGGGGCAAATTAGGGGGCTGCCCCCCTGCCTCTTCTTGCTGGTTCTCTCTGTCTGTCCACTAGAGGGCGGTAGACACAGCACTACTCCCCCTCATATTTGATGTGGTTGTGGGGTGTTGTCGAGTGCCACAGAACCGGCCTTTGCCTTGGAAGGGATCTGGGGGGTCACGGCCAGCGTGTGAAACGCACACAGGTTTTGCATGCCTGTGCACAAGTGTCTGCATCGGTGCCAGCATTGGCTGGACTTGCGTGTCCAGAATCATGCATGGTCAGTCTGGTCACGCAAACACAAGCAGCTGCCCAACCTTTCACGTACCCTCTAGATCACTCAGTCATTTGCACACACATGCAATCGCACGTGTAGACATAGACACAAGCACATGCAGGATTGTGCCCTCACAGCTGGCCCAACACCAGCAGTCCTTGGTTGCGCCCAGAGCGATGCGTGTCTCAGAAACTGAAATACTCCTGAGAACGTACTAAGGGTGTTAAAAGCAGGGGAGACCGCTGGTTGCGGCTTTGGGGGGCTTTGTCCCTTTCACCCAGGGTACCGGCGTTCTGAAATATCAGCCTTATTGTCGGTCCGAGCGGGAATTTTCCGATAAAATTTTTGGATTTGGTTTGAAGCGGAAGGGTTCGTGAGAAAAAGCCGGTTGCGAGGACTCTCCCATTCCGATTTTTTTGGGGGGGGGGAAATAAAATCACTTTGGAATGGTCAAAACAGGCCAGGTTGACGCTTTTGGAACAAAATATCAATCGAAAAGACTTAGGAAACTGGAGTTCTTTTATACTAAACAGTTTTTTTTTTTAAAGTAAAGGTTGCAATTGAAATGAAATGTCTCCGTTGAATTTTTTCCCCCTGGATTATTGGTTTGTGAAAAATGTTGAGAGGTTTTTGTTTTTCTGTGTGGGACAAAATCCCCCAAATCTTGCAAGACAGGAACAAGCTCTGACTTATTGCAGTGGTCTGGCTTGGTGAGTTTGCTGTTGCTCTCTAGCACTGGATAAAGGAGCTACTCCAGATTCCTGCAGTAGACACAGAAAAGCTTAGTGCGTTTGGACACCAGAGCTGGGTTCTCCTCCCAGCACCCCAGGGTCTCAGTGATGCAAGCTGGTTTGTTCTTCCATGGGGGAGAACATTGCAAATTTCCAAAGTCACGGGTCAAGGCCTCCCCAAAATCTCAAGATGGATGTCAAAATTGTGAGACTTTTTTAATGGCTCCTTTGGATTTGTTCTTTGTGATTCTGGTTCCCTGCAGTCACAGAGGCAAGACACGCTTTTATGTATTTTGCTTGTTAACAGATTCCCAGATGGTCCCATGATTCCAGGAACTGGGGCTTGGAGAAAAACAAGCCTCTCTCACCCACCCCAGCTTCCCCGGGATGGTGCGTCAGGTACGTTTGTGCTCCC